ATTCACCTTTGATCTGCTCGACGAGGTCATACCCCTCTTTGGTTTCGACCAAAGCCCACATCATACAGACCGCCGCCGTATGACTCAATGACTTGTGTGAGATCGTAGTTAGCCATTTACAGAGTTGTTCCGAGTGAGTACACTCAAACCACTCGTACGAACACTCACATTCATACAGCGACACTTTGCACTTTGCCCATAAATGGCAATGCCATAGCGAGCGGCGCTGAAAGCAGCGAGACAGCGACAGCAGCAGCAGCAGCAGCAGCAGCTGCCCAACGCCAACGTTTACTACGTTTAACCTAAAAACAAAAACAAACAAAAAAAAAAATAATAAAAAAGAAAAACAAAAAACAAATCGAAGCTTTCATTCATAAAAATCGCAAAAGGAAGCAGCAAACGCTGGCGCTGACTGCAGCAGAGACTGCGACAGAGAGAGGCAGAGGCGGCAGCAACAGCGGCAGCGCGACACATGCCCAAATTTGTGGCATCCGCTTGTGGGGCGATGATTCGTGAGCGGGCGATTAGACGACGCGGACAGCGGAGCGGCGTTGACTGCGACAGCGACCTCATTCGCAGCGTCAAATGCTAATTAATATTTTTGTGTGCTTTTTTTTTTTGGTCGCTGCCTTTGCTTTTGCTGCTGTTTATGGCTATCTCCCTCTTTTTTGGTTTTGTGAATGAGTGCAGGTCTCTGTGCTCTTTCGCACTCGCACTCGTTCTCCCCAGCTTTGCTCTGCTCTCTGCTCTGCCCTCTGCCATTCATCATTGTCTGAAACAGGCATCATCATCATGGCATGGCATTCGGAATCAGCGCGGGATCAGCACAGTGGCCCATTCACAAAATATAACGACACACACACACACACGCACTCAGAGATACACTCACACTCATAGATGCAAAAGTGGAAGTCCGGAACTGGGCGCTTTGTTGCGGTTCCTATCAGATCTGGTCTGTAATTAGTCGAATTGATCTGGAATGAGAATCAGCGGAGAGAGTAATGAGGTTCAGTGGAAAGAGATGGGAATGAGAATCAGTGAAGAGAGGACAAGGGCATGAGAGGGCACCACAGCCTGAGAATCAATGGACAAGTGGGTTGGATCTGGTATGAGAATCGGTGGATAAGTAGAGCGGGTAACCACAGAGAGTGGGGTACTATGAAGAATTAAGGGGAACAAACTATTGGGTTTTATATGAGAAAATGGTACATAGAAGAACTGTAAACTATAGTTGTTATATAGAAAAACATTCAAAGAGAACATTTTGCAACTTTAATTGAAGGAAACAGATCTTTGGGTGACTTTGGTTTGCTGCATTTAAATTGAATGGAAACATGAATGAAATGCAACCGCTCGTTGGCCAGCAGATTCAATATATACCGATATTTTATTTCAGTTTTCTATCAGTTTTCGATTAAAGTACTCAAAATATTCCTTACTTTGTGGAATCTTTTCGATTTACTTGGGAACAAGTTTTTTGTCACTTGCTTATGCATGACATTCCAAGGCAATATGATCCATTAGATTGAACTTTGAACCAAGCCCCCCTCCCACTCCACTAATTGCCAAAGCGACATATCATTAAGATCTCCGTTAATCTGCGATGGTTGGCCAACAAGCAGAAACAAACAGCAGCAGGTTCGTCAGCGAGCAGCGGCCTCTGGAAGATTAATGATGTTTGTAAATGGATTTTTGAGCAATTTTTGTGTGTGGCTTTTTAGCCGAAAGCCACCAGCGATACCTAATACATCGCGATACTGGTCGGTCGGTCACTTACAGACACGTGGAGGCGACGATAGAAATCTGAGGAATGTAGGTTGATGATCTGATCATCATGGCTCAAAATGTAGTGAAAACAACAGACACCTTCCACGTTCCAGTCATGTGTTGGGTGTCTGTTGGTTGATAGCGGGGAGTGGTGTGGATTGTGTGTGTTTTGAAGAATTTCTGCCACTCTGCTGCTGCGTTAATTACAGCGCCGCTGCTGCTGTTGCAGCCGGCGAATGTTGCCTAAAACCGGCGCAAGGCAGAATGCAGCGGAAAAGTCACTTAACTCCATCCAGCCACAGCCACAGCCGGCTAACAGCGTGCTGCAGCGGGGGGTTTTGTTTGCAGTTTCACCCACCATCTCGCACTGCCTTCCCCTTAACTGGCGGCTACTTGTTTGCATTGCCACTCTGACAGACGACAACGATGCAACACCACTGGCAATATCAATTTGTGTATCTCTTTCTCTCTCTCTCTCTCTCTCTTTCATTCTGTTTTGGGATTTTTGTATTTTTTTTTCTTCTGTATTTTCTGTGTCTGTGTGTCTTTCCTTCTGTGGCCTGCTGAACCGGTCTGCATCCGCATGCGACATTTTGTATGCCATTCACATTCCATGGAAGCTGACTCACGCCCGCCACTCTGCCACGCATCGCATCGCACTCGAGCTGCGTCGGTGGCTACTGTCTCTGCCTCTGTGCCACAGTGCCACGGCCTCCAACTCGAAGTCGAGTCGACTCGATCCATCCATATGCATATCCGCCACTCACGCGTGCAATATTCGCGCCTACCAATGCTGCCTCAAGGTACAGTGGAACCACAATGAAAACGAAGATAACTAGTACTTTTGCGGTATCAGAAACATTCTCCAATTGCTAAAATATTTTTCCAGTTTAATTTCAAATATTATTTGTAATATTTTTTTAATTAATAATTAATTATGTATTATATTATATTTGGTATCTGGTATCTGGTATAATTCAAATTTTTATCACACATTTTCTTGAACAGTTGATTTATATAGTATTTTCGATATTTATGAAGTCATTCAACGCACTGTGCCCCACAAAATTGTGTGTGTGTGTGTGTTGGCTTGCCTGCCTGCCTGCCGTTTCTCTGGCTGGGTCGGTCTTTTATTTGTTCCGTTTGACTTTATTTGCTGTTGGTTTTTTCTGCTCTCAACCGGATGTTGTGGGAATTTTTGCATTCTGTTGCTGCCACTGGCACTGCCTCTGCCTCTGCTTCTGGCTCTGTTGCTGTTATTAACTGTCATATGCGACGCGTAAATGCTTATTTTGTAATAATAAAATTTCATGTATGGTTGGTTGGTTGGTTGGTCGCTCCCCCCTCTGTTGTGTGGTGTGGTGGTTAAAGTGGGTGGGGCAGCTGCCACACGACTGACTCAGTTATCAGTTTTTTTGTGTGATGCAGTTGCATTTCCTCTCTGGGCTTTCGGTGGCGCAAAATATAATGACAGGCGGGCGGGGTACGCCTGCTTTTTCGCACATGCCACATGTTCTTCCAGGGAAAAATGGTGCACCCTCAGAGGCAGAGTCCTATGCGTGTCTAAAGTCAATTTGCAGAATGTTAGACTTCAGAGAAGGCCTACCTTTTACCCTCCACTGGACCCTCGACGTATACTTAATATTTGAAAATTTACTCAGGACTTTTCTCCCTCTCGTTATTTGTTTGTTTGACTTTCGGGTGAACCGCAAAGTTGTGGCCCATTTGGAAGTTGCAATTTCTTGTACATATTTTTTGTTGTATGTTTTGCGTTATGAAATTATTAAAATTATCAACTCGTTAAGGTGGTGCTACCTTTTTTGAAGAAAAAAAAACAAAGCTAAAATGGCGAAGTTTTGGGGTTAAGTAAAGAGTGGAGCTCTGAACCCAAGTGAAAGTTTTTCTTTTATAGGGAAAGCGCTGCAGAAATGATAGGGGAAGGAGAACAGTTTGAACAGGTTGAGGATATAAATCATAGGATATCTACCTATATTTTGGTTTAATTTTGCAAGAATTGCCAGTTATCACTTAGAAGGAGTTTCCCGAATGAAATGAATTTTTCGTCTTCAGAATATTAGTCACCCGGTAGATATATCTATCTACCCATAAATAATCGCACAAGATGGATTCCTCTAGACGTCACAACACAATAAATTACTTCACTTTCTTATCACTATTATGGCCTTGCCCCTGGACTCCTTATCACTCAGCAAACACAGCCATCATTGCCCCGTACTTGCTTAGAAAAGCAGCAACAAATCCAAACAAAATAGTCCCATAAATCTAGAAAAAGACTATCGTTTTAGGGTGCCCCACTTGCAATTATCCGTGATATCATTGGATACCATAATAATAGTCGATAAAACCCGAAGTCCGCTCTGAGAAAACAAAGTTCAAGTTGTGAAATCGGCGATAAAGTCGCGGCTCAAAGGCCGAAAAAGAAGAAATAAATAGTGTTTATAATTCATGGAACTAATAATTTTCCTTTGATTTCTAATAGAAAGTTTCTATACCCGTACTCGAAGAGTTAAGGGGTATTTTAGATATGTGGTCAAAGCGGCTGTGTGTATGGCAGAGAAAGCATCCACAATTTTGAACCGAGTAAACAGTATCGTAGAGAATGACCATACATACTATGACTATTGCCAAATTTAAATCAGATCGAATCATCACTAAAGTTAGAAAGAATATTATTTAAAGTATAATGAGCATAGGCAAGTCATGGGAGTGGGAGCAAGACCACACCACCCCCCTAGGCCGGAGCCGGACTATCCCGCGTGCGCCCCCTCCCATACCATACCCAACACCACGCCTTAAAATTATACATGTACGATGTACATGCGATTTGCTATAACAAATCGTTTTTAAATCTATTCATCCAACTACTGGATATGGTGATTATCGAATTTGTTATGCTATGCTTCTGATAGGAACAAAAAAATACAAACAAACGCAAACCGATCAAATAAAATGTGCCTAATTTATTTGATTTATATATTATTAATTATTTACCGAAATTGAGCCGAAGGCCCCGGTGCTAGCGCTCCATACAGTCAATTTTAATATAATTTTATAATGTATTATATTTTTACCCAAATTAAACTAATTTTTATTTTGACAATAGGCAATACATATAAGTCTTAGTTAGCTCATTACTTGAACAATACTATATTGAATATCATATGATTAGATACAATTATAATTATTCATAGACCAGGCGTCACTTTTTAATGCTACCGTATTTTTCGTATACCGTATTTCGTATTCGTGCCGCGGCCTTTATCTTTATCAGATTTGGAAGCATCCTTCTTGGGAGCACGACTCTTCGGTTGCCTGTATTGATTATTTCTTTGATTCTTTTGTTGATTCTTTTCGTTGGCTTTCTTCTTGGCAATGTCCAGAAATACATCTTCCAGCGACGGCTGCGTCAGCGAGTAGTCTGCCACCTTCCACGGGCTGCGATTCCTCTCGATGTACGAGAATACCTTCGACCATCTCAGCTTGTCAGTGGGTATGTGGTAAGTGAGCCTGCCACCAAACTCTTCTCTGAATGCGCCAATCATTACGAGTGTGAGTACGAGTAATTTTTCTTGGTCTGAATGCAACTTACTCTAGCGATGCCGTGGGATAGTCCGATTCCATTTGATTCTTTATCTTCTGTAGAGTGTGCGCCATGCTGTGTGGTGTGGGTGTGTGTGTGTGGGAGGTTATGTCTATATACGGCCATTGAATAACCTTTGAACGGGGCTCACCTTTCCGCGTTCGTCTCCACATGTAACTTGAGCACCAGAGACTGGGCAAACTTATTCTTGATGCGCTGCTGCGATCCCAGGCAATGAATTTGCCCATCCACCATAATAGCCAATTGCGTGCACAGGGCCTCCACCTCCTCCATGCTATGAGAGCTAAGTACCACCGCCTTACCCTGGTCACGCAGGGAGGAGAGGATACTGCACACATGGCGCCGTGACGCCGGATCAACTCCAGAGCTAGGCTCGTCCAGACAAATGAGCGAAGAGCCCTCGCCGGCCACTGCTGCGTTTAACTTTCGCTTGGTACCGCCTCTGTAGTATTTGACCTTTTTATCCAGGTGCGCAAAAAAGCCAAAGTCGGTGGCCAACTTTTCGGTGGCATCTTTGACGAGACTCCGGCGTGTGCCGCGCAGCAAAAGGAAGATCCTCAGTGTTTGACGGCCAGTGCAAAAGTCGAAGAGCGTGTCGTGCTGGGGGCAGTAGCCGATCTGCTTCCTCGCTGCCGTGGGACGGAGCTTAAGGCTGCAGCCTCTGACGTGAATACTGCCCATCGTCATGCCAATGTCGCCCACAATCATATTAAAGGTTGTCGTTTTACCGGCCCCATTGGCACCCAGCAGGCCAAAGCACACGCCCCTGCAGTTTAATTTGGGATTTTGGTTTTTTTTGGGTTCTTGCACACTGCTGAACTTTATGCTCACTACTCACGGTTTGACAGCGAAGGATATTCCACGTACGGCAGACACGCGGCAGTATCTTTTCGAGACCCGGTTTAAGACCAAAGCCTGCTTCTTGCGATCCTCGCTCGACATTTTACTTATCCTTTTGGCCGCAGCAGCCACATCTTCATCGTTGATAGGCACATTTGGGTTACAACAAGAACAACAAATAATATGTTTTATGCCTTGCCAACACATTTCACTGTAATCGGCAAAAATCAGCAGCAACAAGTAGACAGTGCCAGTAATAAGCAGATACCTCACCTCCAGCCAATCCAGAAGGTCTGTAAGAAAAATAGGGCATACATACATGCATACATATACATATACATATGTATATATTATATATACACGTTTGCATAGGTACATATAAAAATTACTTTGACAATAGAATTAACTCATAATTATTCCTATAATTTGTACCAAAGGTTAATTTTTAGTGGCTTTTAGCGGCCAACTATGTAATATCTTCTTGTGGAAGAACTTTAATTAGGAAACAACTTTCTTATGGGATTTAAAAATTAAGAAAAAAACTTGACTGGGAAAATGTCAAAAAAAGTATGTCATAAATTACAGTTTTTTGTGACTTGTAAAGATTTTTACATCAAATTAAAATAGTTAAATTGTTTAAATATGTTAAGCTAAAATAAATTTCGAAAAACAATCTGGGCAGAAAATAATATGGATTAATACTTACCGAGGCAGGAACACGGGGGCGTAATAATTGTTCTTACGGGAGTACAGAGCGCAAAATAATCATCTAATTCCTCCTTCGGAACAGTAAAATATTGGCAATTTGTAAATCTTATACAGCAGTTTACGACCGCAAAATAGCCAGTAAACACAGGATAAATGTAATATACATCCATCATCCGAACTATGAACACTTCCAAATCAATTTTCCATGACAGTGCAATGATGAGGGCAAAAGCAGCATCTATGGAAACGTTGGAAACGGATTGCGGGCTAAATTAAATGGCTTCTCTGAAGACAGGCGTTCCCCTAAAAAACCTACCAAACAGAATGTTAAAGATGGCAATTATGAGCACTGCCGTGCCAGCATCTCTGAAAAGGCATGCCATCATATAGGTAAAGGGCAGACCCGCCACTCCGATGATCATGAGTATCAACAGCATCTGCCCGGGATGGCACATCGCATGCACCGCCAGCAACAGTGGCAGCGCAAACACAAAGTAGAGGGCCAAGTCTGTGATGTAGTGGGACAGCCAGTAGGTGGCCATGTTCACGCCGGACACCTGTTGCTGCATCCTAATCTGCGTTACCTTCTCCTGCGCCACCATGATGGCGAATACCGCCAGGACAATGGACAGATATAGCGTAACAGCAAAGCCAACAATGAAATACACTATTGTCTTAAGTCCTTCTCCATCCGCTTCTTTGTAGGGGGCATTGGTTACCTCTATGCTCGCCTCGGGACCCAGCATCGCTTTGGCCATGGCGTTGAATGCTAGATTGAGCGAAAGTGGAGCACTATGTAGGAAGAGACGATGCATACACCAGGCGATTGTCTCCTGGTCGACTGTGACTGCTGCTATAAGATTGCGCTTCATTTCGTACATCCTTTCGGGCGTTTCTTGTCCCGGGCCGACGTAGTCTTTTATATTTTTTTGGCATATTCTTTCGACGGTGCAGTGTGGCTGGGCCAACTCTTGGTTTCCAATGTCGATTGCAATATTATTTTCACGTTATCGCTTTTATAATCGGCCAGTGTCATCGGCAGCCTGATCAGTATGGACATCTCCGATGGCTTACGGATCAGAACAACAACGTAGAGGATTAAAGGCAACAGCAGGATAACCAGAAATATCCATTTCCTATCATACATGTAGAGAAGCTTCTTCAGCAGCATGGCCTCCCACTGGCCCAGGTGGCGCAGGCAAAAGTTGGGACGACGACTCTGTTCCTGACTCTGTCTCTGGCTCTGGCGCTGCACATCTGATCCGCCGCCGCCGCTAGTGCGACCTCCACCGCCCCCAAGATCTTCCGCACCATGCGACATAAATATTTCTGCAAGACTGGTGGAGCTAAGACCGAATCCCACAACATCCAGCTGCTCCTTCTGCTGCTCCAAGTCGCTGAATAGTGACCCAAAGGATCCCAAATAGCGGTGCGGCAATCGATAGGACACGTCTGATCCAATGTTACTATGAGGCCGCGTGTTGGGCACGTGGGCGGCTATCAGTTGGGTCAACTTGGACACCTGGCAGTTGGGGCCCTTCTCGCAGGTGAGCAGATAGCTGGTTTCGTTTTGTTTCTTGAGGAACGCCAGTGAGCCCAGGCAACGGAGCCGACCATCACTTATGATGTCAATGCGATCAGCCAGTACCTCGCCCTCGTCCATTTGGTGTGTGGTGAGCAGAATGGTGCGTCCCTGCTTCTCGTCCAGCAACAGCTTCCATAGTTCGAGCCGAGAGTTGGGATCCAGACCCGAACTGGGTTCGTCGCAGAACAGAACCTTGACGTTGCCGCACAGGGCACAGGCCACGGCGAGACGTCGCTGGGTGCCGCCAGAGAGGCTTCTGGCCGAGCTGGAGGCCTTTTCCTTGAGGCTAAGCTTCTGTAAGTATTTATCCACCTCCTGTTTGACCGCTGCCCCCTTTAGGCCTCTGAGGCGGCTGTAGGGAGCGAAGGTGACTGGCCACACTTAAACCACCAAAGAAGACGCTTCTCTGCGGACAAATACTCAAGGATTGACGGGCCTGGGCCCGATCGGCTTGTATGTCGAAGCCATTGATGATCGCTGTGCCGGAGCTGGGCTGAATGGTTCCCGTCAACATTTGTATGGTCGTGGTCTTGCCCGCACCATTGTGTCCCAGGAGCACCATGATCTCGTTCTCAAACAAATCGAATGTGAGGCCAACGACCACCTGTCGCTTACCAAAGCTTTTGCTGAGATTTTTGATTTGTACACCAGGTGTTTTGCCTTTGGCGTTGACATCCACGAACTTGGAGGGCTTACGTTTCACTGACTGACCCGAAGCTCGCTCCTCGTCGTTGGGCTGGACAGGGAAGAGCCCGGTCGGCGATAGTACTCGTCTTACATATGTACTTGGCCGGACACCAGAAGTGCTTGGTGCACGGGAAATTCCACGGCTGTGGCATGCCAAACTCCCCAGGCCTCACCCGCTCCATGTACAGATCTGGCAGATGAGGATCGAGATGAGGCTGAACAGCAGCATGATCATTAGTATCGCACCCACGCTTATGGTGTCGCCAAGCCACGACGTCTGAAAGAGATTGCTCCATTGCAGGCCCAGACGCGCCTCCTTCCATATGGAAATGCGATCCATGACCAAAATCATTCCCGACACAACGAAAATGCTGCACAGGATATTCAGCAGTGTCCCAGTACTTTCACTGTCTGTGGCAAACTTGGGCAAAGCGCTGGCTATGAACACAGGGACGGCAATGATGGCACACCAATTGGTGCGTGCGCAAAAGGAGCTGACCAGGAAGCCAAAGCAAATGAAACAGTGGCTGCACACAAGCAGATAGAACAGAAAGACCGACCAGCCGGTGTGAGGGAGAAGGGCCATTCCGGAAAAAGGTCCTCTGTCTTCCGACTCGGGCAGAGCGATCACCGTCCAAACGATTGTAACAATCAGAGATACTATGAATAAAACTATCATGGATTTGACATACCAGGCCAGCCATTGCAGCGAGTTGCTAACGTCGAAGATGTTCAACATTTCCTTCAGCTGAAGCTCCTTTTCCTCGACAATGTTCTGCACGAAATTGGAAAGTGTTTAAGAACTCTGCTTAAAGCATAAATTAACATTCTTACCTTAACATCCATTGTGAACGGGCATAAAAACACACACATTAAATATATAACAAAAATTTTGAGTATTCCAAAATCCCGTTGTTAACGGGAAAACGCAGAGCAAATCGAAATCTATTCGGCACTTCGGATATATGGGACCATTCGTCGGGGAACTCTATGCCGGTAGCACCTTTGTACGATGAATTTGTTGTAATTACTTCCTCTAAGGCCTTGGCATTGGCGAAGCCCTCAACATAGGGCAGTCGTTCCCCAAATTCAGCAGGTGCTGGTATCCCTTTGACAAGCGTCTCAAGAATATTATTTTTTGGCGAATAACAGAAAGCCATTGCGCTGTGGGTTTGGCAGTCAATGAGCACAATATTAAATAATTTTATTTGGTTAGAAGTGATTTTTATGGACTTACTAGTGTTGATAGCTCGTGGTGTAGTTCATTCCATTATCGCGTGTATAATTTATTCCCATTAAATAGCGCACCAACGAAAAAAAAATAGATATTATAATTAAACAAGCCAACTGGCATTTGCGTCCCAAGAGAACACATAGGCTTTTCCATAATATCAATAGAAACTTCTTTGGCCAGGACAAGACCTGAGGCTCTTCCTCTTCATTTGTCATATTTTATGTATAGTACATATAGTATATACATTTTCTGGACACACAGTTACTTGATACTTGTACTTGTTTTGGTGAAGAAACAGATTACAGTGTTTTTTTTGTTTTGTTTCAAAACCGAGTAGATAGAACAGAACGATCTGGACAGCTGAAACACTAAGCACTTGATTGCTTGAATAAAAGATATTTTAAAGATTATCGAGCCAATCTGCTAAGAAAAGTAGCAACAAATCAAAACAAAATAGTCCCATAAATCTAGAAAAAGACTATCGTTTTAGGATGCTGCCCCTCCTGCAATTATCCGTGATATCATTAAAACCCATTTATACCAGTCGATGAAACTCGAAGTTCGCTCTTTATAGAAAACAAAATTCAAGCTATGAAAGTCGCGGCTCAAAGGCAGAAAAAAACAACAAACAAACAGTGTTTATAATTCATGGAACTAATAATTTTCCTTTGCTTTTTTTTTCTCTCTTGTGATAAGAGGAAACCTTCCACCATGCTGCTCGTGGGGGGGACTCGGCTACTCCACTGCCACTCTGACATTTTGCGAAAATTCCCCAAACGCAAATTATTTGGTCACGCGAATAATTTATTATGCGACCTGTTTCCTCCTTCTCCCTCTGCACTCCTCCTGCCGTGCCCGGCATTCAACCTTCCGCCGCCGACATCTCGTGACGACGCGGTCTCCGACGACGGATGCGGTATGGAATAAAAGCCCCAGTCCCAGCCCCAATACCGACCCTCGTTCCCGTTTCAATCCACAGACAGCGGTCGACCGCCCACGCCCACTCATGGGATGTACACCACCCCCCGCCTTTTCAACCCCGACCCCTGCTGTTGGGTTGTTTTTCATTCATTTGCGAGATACGCGAGACACAGAGCGTACTATGGGATACGATTACTCGTACAAGTGGCTCCATGAGATACAACCGACTGTGGCGGCGACGACTGTGAGATACTTTCCGACCGTCTGGTCTGGTCTGGCCTGGCCTGTCTCTCGTGTCGTCTGCTGTGTGTGTGTGTGTGTGTGCATTCATTATCGAACCTTCTTCTCGCGTATCCAGTGCCCCAGCACCCCACATCACCCACTCCCACATTTTCTTAATGAATGAATTGAAGATAATTAATTCGTCGTCGAGTGACTGCAGTTCCTCACCCTCCTCCAAATGTGGTGCCCACAGCGGGCGGATGAGCAGCTTTGGGTTTCGGGAAATGAATGGAACGTCGCATCGTGAATGTAGAAAAGATAAATTTATTCGATATACATGAGATATGAGACTCACGCACGAGATATGTGGAAGATCCTTTTTCATTGATGTGTACCATGTGTAGCGCTACAGTTCCTTAGACGGAGAAACGCTGCCGCATGACGCGCGACTCTGCCAAATAAATGTTAATTAGGAGTAAATCTTGTGATCAGTATCTGGTAATGAATCCTGTATTTTGTTGTGGTATTTTTCAGTTTTATTTCAAATTTTGAATCTATTATCGATAATTTTCTAGTGCAACATTTGTTCCAAAACTGCCATTTCCAATGAACCAACGTGAGTGTTGCATGCACCTCCCTACCCTTAATTAATGATACCATCTCTACGAGGAAGTATCGTGTTTACAGGCGTGACCGACCAGCAGCAGCACCCTGGTGGGGAGCGATTGGTTGCTATGTAGCAGTAGCAGCCAGACCCCTAAAAAGGGTAGACATGTGTTTGAGCCAAGAGTCGGCGTCAGAGCCAAGGCAGCAGCAAGAGCCATGGATTGGATGGTTATCATGCAATCATGCCTTTCGCTTTTCATGGCACCAAACCAACCGAATGTTGTATTCATTTGTGTATTCGCTTATTCGTTTCAACTTTTATGCATAGAAATTCCTCGCACTTTTATGACTTGCGCTCGTGTGGTCGATTAAATTTTCGAGACTCAACCAACAATCTGCATAGTTTGCATAGTCGCCACAGTCGCCTCCCTCTTTATACTCGATTCTCGTGGCAGGCAGGCAGTGTCTCTGCTGCGGATCGCATGATTCACTTTGCCACATGCCCCTCTGTCCCTGTCCCTGGCCCCTGCCACTACCCCCTCTCGCTTTGTGGGCCAATTAATCTCTCTGGCTATTAAAATGTTATTACTCAATGTCTGTTTTTGGGTTTGAGGGGTGTGTGTGTGGGTTGTTTCTTTTTTTTTTTTGTGGCAGTCGTGATGATGAGTGCCCCCGCCCTCGTTACCCTTTCTTCCGCTTAATTTTTGGTTATTTATTTAAAAATTTCTTATCGAAAACTTTATTTGGGTGTCCCCGCTCCACGGGGCTGTTGTTTGTATGAGTAACGCTCTGATAAGGGCTTAAATGTTGTCTGGCTATTCAAATCAATTTGAATGACTCAATTGTTAATGTGGAAATTATCATAATTGACCCGTACCTCAGAAGGGATATATTTTTGGGGTTTTCTCGGGGAAATTCCCTGAACTTCAATTAATTTTTTGTTGTAAAAATATCTGTCTAATGTCTGTGCAAATTATATGTGATAAAACCCCAAAAATAAGATAACTTGATTTTTATTTCTTTTAATTATTTGGGTATAGTTTTTGGATATTCCTTGCGGTTTGTAAAACCCCTGGCGAACGACCGTGAACTTGTTCTCAAAATACACAAACATTTATTGGGAATCTATTGGACTTAAAAGATTTCTTTTTAATTGGTGTTTCTTTATTATAAAATTTCTTTGCAGTGAAATGCGAAACCTAATCAGCATATAGCAAATGTTCTTCCAATGATCTGGGGTGGGGCTCTTATCGGGAATACCGGGAATTTATGTTTATTTTAAAAGTATTTCTGTATAAATTTTGTAGTTTGAAGAGCTGTGCGATGTCGTCAATTTTCAATTCACGTGCCAGGCGGGTGGTGCCGCATGAAGTCATGCCCCGATCCCCGCACCCGTACCCATTTCTCATCGAGCAGCAGCCTCCTCTATAGTTCTCGAGTCTCGATTGTCGGCCTTGGTGGTGGTGGCGTCGGCGGCATCTGCGGTGGCGGTGGCGGAACAACAATAATAATGACGCCATGGAATTACCGACAAGACGCCTCCCTGGGTTCGTTTCGCATCATTGTGGCAGAAATAGCATCAGAAAAGGCAGCTCTGCTGATAAGTTTCAGTTTCGCATTAAAAATATTCAGAGAAGCGGCCGGGAGGGTGGAACTCAAGTGAGTGGCGACTGGATAAGTCGGAGAGAAATCAGATATCAGTGCATTCGATTATTGGAATTTCGATATTTACAGCCATATTATATTACGATAATATGAGAAATTAAAGGGAATTTCATTTGATAAAGGCTTGTGCGGAGCTTATGAAGCTGCACTTCAAATTGAAAATATTTACCCGAAAACATATAAATTTTCGCATGATAAATGCCACAAAATTGCACGAATTTAAAATGTGGTTCTTCGTCTTATGTGGTTTGGTGAATGGATGGCGTATAGAAATGGATATTCTTTTTGGGATCCAATAAAACCAATCATCCATAGCATTAGTATTATGCATTTCCATTACTAACATAAATCGAATGAATCAGAGACCAGCATCATCATCATTATCAGCCTGCTTCTCGAATGTTGTATCTGTATCTCTCTGCCGTTGCATTCCCCATCATCGTTTTGGTGGCAATTGTGGAGTCTGGTCGCGATGTCTCCATTTGTTTGTCGCACATTCAAAAATTGTTCTTCTCCATTCTTTGTCATTAAATGCGCTCCACACACTCAAACATTCATACACTCACTTTCTCTCTGTCTCTCTCGCTCTGGCAGTGAATGCTGAATGAAAATGACCGCTGGAATTTATGGGTGTCTCCTCCACCTCCTGCTCTATCCCCATTCCCTCCTTCTCTTACCCTTTCTCACTCTCTGTCGCTGGCTCTCTCTGTGTGTTTGCTCTTTATCTGGGCAAATATTTACGCTGAACTTTCGTGTCAATTGATGTCACATTCCTTCTCCTTTCTCCTCTCTTTTTTTTGTATTTTTTGTATTTTTTTTTCTGTATGTGAAATTGTAAAGAAAAGTGTGGAATTTTACTGCCTTTTGACCTGCCACTAAATCAGCTGATAATTCGCCATCGCCACCCCATCGGACGATATATGTGGTGTTTGAGTGTGCATTCGAGTCCCCTCTTTGGTGACTGTCTGAGTGGGCGCCAGATGAGGCAATAAACAGATTTTCTGCGTAGGGTTAGGGTCAGTGGTTGGCCTCCGCTTTCTTCTGCTTTGAACTTGCAACACACACAGCCATTTCGCTATGAGTCTTCGTACCCCATTTGGATGGGGCACGTACTCCTACGGAGAAGCCAACAGATTATTCTACATTTTTACCATATTTCTGTGGCAGGGAAAGTGCTACTATAGATGAAAGCATATTAGGAGCAAATTATGGGATCATCGAGAATGGGATCGCACGGGATTAATCAGTATGCTTACAGATTTATTCGAAACAATGAGTAAAGCGATCAAAAGATAGACCCATGTAGAGATGTGTAGAAGGAAATGTTAGCTCAATAAAATATGAAAGAAGCAGTATCACCTGCTTCATGATTCGTACAGTATTTTGTTCGATATATTACAATATGTTTCAGTAGTTTTGTGTGCAATTTATTTCGATATTTTAAACATTGTTTTCAGTATTTTATCGGTATATTTAAGTTTTCGTATTCACGATATTTGTTCAGTTCATG